TGCACCACCGCGCTCGAATATTGATTAATAAGCTTGCCAGTAAAGTCCTCAAAGCTCTCGATTGACCCAGGTGGAAGTTGATGAAACCAATCGAGTGCTCCTCCCCGCAAAGTCGATAAGAATGCTCTGCAACAAACAGAATCAGAGTACCCATGCAACACAGCCATATTTTCATAGGTCCTCACATGCCTCGATGGGTCAGATGACCCGTCATACACCAAGTTGGTTTCCTTAAAATTGTTTGGCAGCGGAGCAGCAAGAATCTCCCTTGAAAAGGGATGTCCTCGAGCTCTCCTCTCTGGCCTCCCTTCCACTTTGTCTTGCAGTTGGCGCAACTGCTCCGCCATCCTCTCCATCGCCCGATCTCTTCCCACTCCCCCTTCTTCATAACTGGACACATCCTCATCCTGGCTTCCGGCCACCGTGGTCGGCGCAGTGGTGGCATGAGAGGTATGACTCGCAACTTGCTGCACCGCCTGCGCCGCCGCGGCCGCCGCTATCCTTTGCATCTCCTCCCGGGTCATTGCCACCATTTGTTGGCCCGGGGTTTGTACGGCTGCCTGTAGTGGCACTCCTCCCTGTGCCAGCACTCCTCCCTGCCGTTGCGTTGGATCTGGTGGTGGTGGTGGTGGCATCGCCGCTGCCGCTGCTACACGAGCTTCTTGGGCCTGACTGGAGCTGGCATCTCCACCGGGAATCACCGTCGCCACTCCTACACCTTGGAAGTTAGGTGCGGGAGTGACCGAAGTCTGCGATGGGCCAGAGAAACCCGGAGGAGGGTCGTGCCCCAACGGCCTGGTCGTCGTCCAAGCTTCGTCGAACGTCGACTGCAAGTTTTTAAGAATTCCGTCCGCCATAACTGAGCTTCAAACACAACTTTTTGAACAAAGAATCCCCACAGACGGCGCCAATAATGCAAGTGTAAGTGTCCCGGTTCGGTTTGGACGGATAGTCTTGGTCCTCGCCGATAGAACGCCGGAAACCTGCAAATAACTCTCACACTGGGGGTTGTGTCCGGTGAAGAGCCTCGGATGCTTAAGTCAATATGTGTATAAGTATACTGGAATTCAGAGAGTGAATAGAATGTGTTTGGGAAGAAAGGCTCACCCCCTTTATATAGGGGTGAGATACCTGCCCTAAGAGCTGCCCGGATGAGGTGAGCTGGCTGCCCAAGCTGCCCGTCCGTACTCTGACACGCCGCCCACATGTCAGAGGTGGCGCAAGGCGTTGGGGAGTTGTCAGAGGTAGTTATCACCATCACCCAATACATTGTTGACACATGTTTCCCCAGCACATGGGGTAAATATTCTCTGGAGATTTCGGTCAAAGGCTCCCACGCGCGCCTATGGTACACGCGCCCATAACTAGGTCGATTACGAATTCCTCGAAGCGATCATCTCACTGGGATCGACTAGCTTGCTCGATCATTATCCTGGTCGAGCGATGGATTGCTCGATCATGAGTCTGGTCGAGCGATGGATTACTCGATCATTACTCTGGTCGAGCGATGGATTGCTCGATCATTAGTCTGGTCGTTTCCCTGAATGTTCGATCTTCCTGCCTTTTGGCTCGGCTCCCTCTTGGTTTGACCTTCTCGACCGACCCAGAAGACCGGTTTAGCTTTATGTATATAATATCCCATATCATAGTCCTAATATAACTATAACTCTAATAAAGCAATAAAATATTAGGTGTCCTAAACAAACTAGAAAACAAGGAAATAAATATCTAGAATATCTCTTGCTTGCGACTCAAGCCGCCATTGCGCGCGTCCGTGTTGCCTAATTGCCCAAGGACTAGGGCTTCATCTTCCATTCCCGCGCACGCGTCCAGCAGCTCGCCTAATCCTCGCGCGCCTAGGCAAGTTCGCGCGTGCACCCCGTCGCCTGCGCGTTCAGCCCCAATAATATCGAGCGCGTCATCTTCCGCGCGCTTGCCCATCCGCGTATCGCGCCTCTCCGGCACGACGACTTAGCCTCCTTCGCGCATTCCACGCGTGACTTGCTTCATTCTTGAGCCTTCTCGCCGTGTCCGCATCATTCCCGTCCCCTTCAAGTGCTTCCTTGTCCCCAAGGAAAAAAATGGGGAACAGTTCTCGCATCTCGTCCTAACTTTTCCATGTTGATTCCTCACTCGGCAAGTCCTCCCATTCGACGAGCACCTCCCAAAAATATTTTCCAGCCTTTTTGACTTGTCGGTACTCCATCGCGCGGCTTGGCCGCACCATAACCTGCCCGTCAGGCACGACCGCGGGTAGTCGATCCTTTGCCGTATGCGTCTCGCCGAGTCATTGCTTGAGTTGTGAGACGTGTATGACCGGATGGATATGGGAATCGTCCGACAAAAATTTTATAAGGCACGTAATATCGAACTCCGAGTTTGGTCGCGGCCCTTTGCGCGGCCGTCCTTTGCCGAAACAGCCCCAACTTCAAGTATACCCAATCCCCAGGCTCAAACGTTATGTCGCGCCGCTTGCCATCATGGTACGCCTTCATCCTATTTATCGAGCCCTCAAACGTCCGCTTTAGCTCGTGCAACATCAAGTCACACTCGACCAACTCTCGATCGACCTCATCGTTCATGGCGCTCCCCATGGAGTAACTCACGATCGTCGGCGGTTTGCGCCCGTACACCAACTCGAACGGTGTCGCGTTAGTCGAGCTATGGTAAGTGGTGTTATACCAATACTCGGCCCAAGGTAAATAATCCTCCCATCGCTTTGGAAACTGATGCACATAGCACCTAAGGTACTGCTCAAGTGTGCGATTGGTCACCTCTGTCTGTCCGTCGGTTTGTGGATGATAAGACGAGCTCATGTTTAGCTCGGTTCCCTGTAATTTAAAGAACTCCAACTAGAAACTACTCATAAATATCCGATCCCGGTCGGACACAATCGACCGTGGTACCCCATGCAACTTCATCACATATTCAACAAACAATTTTGCTATAGACTTAGCCGTGTATGGATGAGTAAGTGGAATGAAATGCACATACTTGGTAAGGCGGTCGACTACCACCATGACTCCATTGAACCCATTCGAGAGTGGCAACCCTTCGATAAAATCCATGGTGATGTCCTCCCAAATACGCGCGGGAACCGGCAATGGTTGAAGCAGTTCGCCAGGTCGACGCGCGTCCGCCTTAGTGCGCTGGCACTCATTGCATCGCCCAACGTAGTCGCGCACATCGCCCCTCAGTCCCGGCCAATAAAAAGTGCTCGCAATCCTCATCCATGTCCGGAACATCCCCGAATGTCCTCCAAACTTCGAGTCGTGGAAGTGTCGGATGATGTCCTCGCGCAACGATCCCGCCTCGGGCACGACGACTTGCCCATGATAAAGGAGCAAGCCATCGTGCATGTCATGGTCCTCGTCCTTGTCGCGTCCCTCGTTCAGTTTCTCGACCACATCTTGACAATGCGCATCCTCGTCTTGCGCCTTCCGAAGCTCTGTCCAAACAGCCCACGTCGGCCCCGTCACTGCGTCGAGCTCGGCCACGTCTTCCCGGCGAGACAATGCGTCGGCCACGGTGTTCTGGCGACCGGGACGATACACTATCTCGAAGTCGAACCCCATCAATTTGGATACGAACTTCTGCTGCTCGGGCGTCACGATCCTTTGCTCGAGCAAGTGCTTGAGCGGCTGCTGGTCCGTGACAATTCGAAAGCATCGCCCAAGCAAGTACGACCTCCATACGCACACGGCCTCGACCACGGCTAGCATCTCTTTTACGTATGCGGACAACCCTAAGCGCACCGGCCCGAGATCCTTGCTGAGATAAGCCAAGGGTCGTCCTTCCTGTACTAGAACTGCTCCGATTCTAATGTCGCTCGCATCCGAGTGAATCTCGAACAACACATCAAACCTCGGCATCGCGAGCACGGGTGTGGTCGTCATGGCATTCTTTAGTTCCTCGAAAGCCTTTTCGCTCGCCTCCGTCCACTTGAATGCTCCCTTCTTCGTCATCTCCGTAAGTGGCTTTGCGATGGTCCCATAGTCCTTCACGAATTTTCGATAATAGCCCGTGAGACCAAGGAACCCTCGCAACTGCGTCAAGCTCGTGGGTTTCGGCCATCCCACCATCGCCTCGATTTTCCTTGGATCCACCTTAACGCCACCATGAGAAATAAAGTGCCCGAGGTACTCGACCACTTCTTGAGCAAACGAGCACTTGGACGGTTTGATGTAGAATGAGTTAGCCTCCAAAATCCCCAAAACAATTCGCAAGTGCTCGAGATGATCTGCCCATGTTTTCGAGTACACCAAAATGTCATCAAAGAATACTAATACAAACTTACGAAGGTACTCCTTGAAGCTTGAATTCATCGCAAACTGAAATGTCGACGGCGAATTGCACAAACCAAAAGGCATCACGAGATACTCGTAGTGCCCTTGGTGCGTGCGAAAAGCTGTCTTGGGCACGTCCTCCTTGGCCAGCCTGATCTGATGGTAGCCCGCGCGTAGGTCGAGCTTGGAGAAGTATCTCGCGCCACCCAACTCGTCCAGCATGTCGTCGACACTTAGAATGGGAAAACGTTCCTTCACGGTAGCCGCATTGAGAGCGCGGTAGTCCGTGCAAAACCGCCACGTGCCGTCCTTCTTCTTCGCGAGCAGCACCGGTGACGAGAACGGGCTCGTGCCATGCTGGATTAGTCCGGACTCGAGCATCTCGCCCACCTACCGCTCGATCTCTCCCTTCTGAAAGTGCGCGTACCTATAGGGATGCACGTGCACTGCTCGATCCTCCTCGACCGGAGGTATGCGGTGGTCGAACTCCCGGTGCGGCGGCAATCCTTTGGGCTTGTCGAGGACCTGTTCGAACTCCTCGAGCAAGTCACGCACCTCGCGCTGCCTCTTCTCGACCGCCTTAGCGTCGAGGACCTGGTCGAACTCCTCGAGCAGGTCACGTGCCTCGCACTGCCTCCCCTCGACCACCTGGTCGAGCTCCTCGCCCGTCTGCTCGACCACGACAGCGTACAACTGTCCGCCACCTCGCCACACCTTCTCGATGTTTTTCAGACCAACCCCCTTGGTTGCTCCCTCACTAGCCTTCAAGGTAACGAGCTGATCACCGGCCTCGAACTTCATCACACCTTTCCGGTAATTAGTCGTCACATCTCCTAGTCCCTCGAGCCACTGCACCCCAAGCACCACATCCGGTCCCACCAAAGGTAAGGCAAACAAATCCGCCTTTACCATCACTCCTTGAAACTTGATCGGCACGCCCCGGTACATCTTCGAGCACCGCAAGCGCTCGCCATTCGCCACCCTAACCTCGAACGGCTCAATCGTGGTCATGGGCAACTTGAGTTTGTGCGAGAGAGTCGCATTAATGAAATTATGCGACGACCCATTGTCCACGAGTACCGTAACCCGCCGATCCTTCAACCATGCCGGTAACTTCATAGTCCTCGGGCCTTTAGTGCCCGCCATCGCATGGATTGAGATCTCGACCTCGTCATTGAGCACCTCGACCTCCCTTTCTTCCTCGATCACCGGCTCTTCGTCATCCGAGTCCACGAACTCGATCAAGTAATTTTGCTTGCACCGATGTCCCGGCGTGTACTTTTCTTCGCACCGGAAACACAGCCTCTTCTCACGTCTCCGCGACATCTCCTCCTCCGTCAACCTCTTCACCTCGGTTGCCGGTGGCCTAAAGGTGCCCGGCGGCCTCGCGTTCGCACTAGGTGCGCCCACGGTCGCCGGCACACGCCGCGGCTCCGGGACACGAAAATCCGCCCGTCCCCTTCGAGTCACGGCCAAGTGATCCTCCCGTCTCCTAGCAACTTCCATGGCCTTATGCATGGTCTCCGTCCTCTCCAATCGCACTTCAGCCGCGAGATCATACCTAAGCCCTCCAGCAAACGCGCCAACAAGCACGCTCTCCGGCCACCCGCGAACCCGGCACGCCAATCTCTCGAACTCTTTTTGGTAGTCACGTACACCCCCGTCTGCCGGATCCGCGTTAGCGTCTCGTCGTGGTTATGATAGTCCGAGTTTTCAAAACGAGTAAGGAGCTCTCGTTAAAAATCTTCCCAACGGATTGGTTGTTGCCGCCCGCGATACACGTGCGTGAGCTACTGCCACCACACGTTGGCCTCACCATCTAAATAGTACGCGGCATAACGAACCCAGTCACGTTTCGGCATCTCATTTAAGTCGAAGAATTGTACTGCCCTGTTCAGCCAAGCGTCTGGATTGGTTCCCGTGAACGTTGAGAGCAGGAGCCTCAGCTTCTCGACGCGTGGTCGCTCATGAACGTTCGACGCCTGCGACCGCTGCTCGTACTCTTCCTCCTCGTCGGGGTGGTGCTCGGCTCGCTGCTGCTCCTGTTGTCTTAGACGCTCGCGTGCGTTCAGCCGTGGTTGCTCTTACTGTCGCTGGAACCCGCGCAATACCTCCTCCAGGCGCTTCTCGAGACCAGCCACGGTAGCATTGGTGGTGGTCTGTCCTTCATCGAGCGAACCAAACCGACCCTCCATGCTCTCACTTATGGCTCTAAATTGGCCTTCCAACCCTTCGACTCTTTCTTTCAACTCTCGATTGGCCATATCTTCCCTTGCTTGCCTACGTTCTCGACTTCCCGGACTAATTTCGATTTTTTTTTTTTTGAACGAACGAAAATTAAGAAAGAAAAATTAAAAGAGAATGGGAAAG